AGCGTATTTTGACAATCGTGTATGATTTATCTTGATTTTCTTAAACCACTACACAAAGGTAAAGCTCCAGGCAAGATAGTTGTTAATTTACTAATGTATATTTACTCATTTTTGTTTATTCAGCTACTTGGTTAATTATTTTCAAGATTTATTAATAAATAATTATAAGTTTTAAATAAGTTAGATTATTTCTGTTTTTTTTTTTCAAAAATACATACATGTATACTTTTTTAGTTAAATTTTTAGAGATGAGTGGTATTGTATATTGTTTAATAGGAATGGGGTAACTTAAGGCATTAATCGTTAATAATTTTTTTTATGACATAATACGTTGATATACAATAAAAATTTATTGTAAAAAGATGGACAAAAGTTTCATTTATTATTATATTTTTTTGTTTTTTGAATATATGAGTAGGAAAAGATTTATTGTTTACTTCAATTTATTTAATGGGTGTTCATTTTCATTTTTGTTTATATTAAATTTATTATTTAAGTGTATTACATTTTTGTCATTATAATGATTTTACAATAATATACTTGGTATAACAAATTCATATAGTATATCAAAATTTAGTGAACGACGATAAAGAAAAAGTTCGGTTTAACGAAAAATCCGTAAGCCAGTTCTCTTAAGGCTTTTTTATGATTTAATTTTTTAAAGATTTTCAGAAAATAAACTTAAAGTTAAAAACCGACTATTCCGTTGTAAAACTAAATCGTTTGTAAAATGAATATACGGTATCGGTGATTGAATTTACATTGCTGTTCGAATAATATTTTACGCTATACCTAAAATTGATTATTATAATGCCAAGAAGTTTTTATATTGAGTACTCCTTCAACTGTCTTTCCTCGAGTTAATTATAGACTAAGTAATTTATTGTATTATGCAGTATGTAATGAAATATTTCTCTTGTTTTAAATTTAAAAAAATAGCGGGTAGGTATATCAATATAATAGTGAAAAAAACATATTAAATTATTTATTTTTAATAATTTAGTTTTGTGCGTTTCAATATATTTAAAATATATTAATTAAAAAAAATTCTGTTTTTTAGAGCTATAAAGGACATAGATTTAGACTTAATGGGTGTGAAACTTTTACCGGGATATAAAGATCCATATTATAAACGGTAAGTAAAAAAAAAAGAAAAATTTAGTTTTTTAATAACTATTTTATTTAATTTTAAGTTAATTTATTTGATATACAGTATTATTTATTAAGAATATTACCCTTTTTTTCATTAAATAAAGATTTTATTTATTAAAAATTATGGAATAAAATATTATTTATTTTTATAAATCATGATAAATATTAAGTTTGTTGTGAAAAACTAGTAGTAGTTTGTAGGAGTAATTTTCGAAAGTTAAATGGAAACCTATAATTATTTTTTTACAATTAGAATAAACTAAAATAAATTTTATCTAGTTGATAAATTAGTTTAGTAATATTAATTTTGAGATTTTAGTATTTACATTTTTTACAGTTTAACGATGCTCTATTTTTAATAGTTAAGAATACCACTGTCGAACATTCCTTTCGCATATGACTAAAAATTATATTAATTCAAAAAGTAATATCACAAAATTGGTTATGGACTCTTCAAAATTTTATTTAGTCCATTCTCTATATAATAGTGTAAAAATAATTATAGGTTTCCATTTAATTTTCGAAAGTTATTCCTAAAATTAATGTTAAAATAAATTTTGTACAGTTTTTAATTTTAAGACTTTATTTTACCTTCACGATGAAAATAGCTACCGAATGCTATTTTTGTGTGAAAATTCTCGATTTCGTATTTTATATTTTTAACTTTATTATGCTATAACTTTTTAAAAAATGTATGGATCAATACAATTTTTTCATGAGAAGTAGTATTTATATACATCTTTCATTCAACATACTTTATCTTAATCAGGATATTAATAAGGAAATAGCAGATCATGTAGCTTTTGGAATAATCCACTAATTTTTTAAAATTAAACACTATCTAAAGATTTGCATCGAAGCGTTTTTTTTGATAGTGATATTAATTACTGTCAGATATCATTATACTTGATCTAACTATGATACGTCACCACTGTGCTGCGACCCCCCTGTGCTGGGTTTTTTCTTATTAATTATGTTACATAACTTGAAAATTGAATTATCATATATAAAGTTTCTAAAATATAAAATATATATAATGAAAATTATACAAAAAGATATGTCAAAGAAGAGATCTATCCTTTAATCCCCCCAATGACCTCCCTTGAAATCCTGATATAATACAGGTTATTTTTTTAACATTAGCCACTCAATTTGTTTTAGAATAATAATTATGTTAGGAGGATTCTTTTTAGTATTTTTTAGTTTTATATATTTCTTGATTTATCAGTTATTAATCCTTTTTTAATTCATCCATTATATCTTATAATTGTGTCAACTTTATTTTTATGATTCTTCTTCTTCTTTTTCCTGGCCTTAATCCCAATTACTTGGGGTCGGTACCCTTATCCTAAACTTCCACTTGACACAATCTTCCACATCCTCAATGCTCACATCATCTCATATCGCATTTAATAACTCCCCTCCATCTATTTTTTGGTCTTCTTCCTTCAACTTTCATTTTTATAACTGTTCTTACAGCTTCCCATTCTCCTCTCCTCATAATATGACCAAACTATCTAAGTCTATTTTCTCTCGCCTTACCCACGATTGACGCTACACCTCTACTCCTTCTTATATGTTCGTTCTTTATTCTATCTCTTTAGTCACTCCGCTCATCCATCTAAGCACTCTCATCTCTGCTACACTGATTCTCTGCTCTACTTTCTTATCAACCGCCCAACACTCTGAACCATATATCATGGTTGGTCTAGTAATTTCATCCATCACTATAGAAAATAATTATTGTAATAATATAATAATTATTTTTATGATTAATATAAAAGTAAATATCTTATAAAATAAAAAAATTGTATAATTAAGAAAATAACTGATTGATAAGAATTTATAATCCATTATTTCAGGAGTTTTTTAAATATATAATAGAGGAAGAGCTCGGCAAAGTGATCCATAACGATAAAAATAATATAATCCGTATTTACTCTCTACTCTATATTTAAAAATGTTTATAACTTAGTAATTTAACCAAGTATTGGTCCAAATTTTATCGACCAGTCATTTTTTATTTTATAAGGTAGTTAAATGTGTCCGTTGCTTTAAAAATATATAAAGTTGATACCCTTATAAAGTTTAATGAACGAATTAAGAAAGTAATTAATAACTGATAAATAAAAAATATATGAAATAAAAAAATCATAAAAATCATTTTCTTAACTTAATTAATATTTTATGTGAAATGGTGTGACCAATAGATTTAAAGAATAGATCTGTATTTCCATTTAATTAAAATGAACGAATTTTAGATAGAAATCAAATCCAAATTTATTATCTTATACACTTCGGTTCAGTTTTGTTATTTATGCTTTTGTAAAACATTCATGAAATTAAGTTCGATTGCAAATATTCATGTGAAAAATCTATATGTGTGATAAATGAGGTTTACATAACAACGATGGTTGTTTTTATTTCTCAATTAAAAAATTTTCGTTGTTTTATTTTTTATTTATTTTTAAAAAACTATTTTGTATCTTATTATAATCTATTTATATGTATACTTTATTTTAACCGTTATTTAAACAAACATTTTTTTCATGAATATTTTGTAGACCAATCACTAAAGGAGAAATAGGATGTTTCATGAGTCATTACAGATTGTGGGCTATGGTAATTATTTTAATATTTCAAAATATTTTTTATGATATTTATTGTACAGTGCAAGTAGAATTTATTAAAATAATTCTTATTTTTCTTTATTCAACTCGGTATTATTATTTTTAATCAATTTTACTTTACTCTCTGGATTTCAGCTTTATATATTTTTAGTTTTACATGCCAACCATTCATCGATTTTTATAAACATTCTTTTCTTAAAACCTTGAACTTTCTATTTTAAGTATTACAAACTTAAGTTGAACTCATCAAAAAGATAAATTTTGGTAAAATATAAGTAAGCAATAAAAATTAATATTTGATTTATTTATTTACATCGATTAGTTCTAAATCAAACAGTATTTTAATAAGTACTTAAAACACATTAAAAATGTATTTGTTTAATAATTTGTTTTTAATTTTACTTACAAATTGTATTATGATTAATTTTCAATTTACAAACCATTTAATTTATTTAACACAAAATTATCAAGTCAAATTAAAAATCCCAGGCGGTACTTAGTTGTATAGTGATATTTTGCATAAACATGTTACGTAAAATTTACGTTAAATGTTTTAAGTTTAAGTTAACATTAAATGTCACCAACTTATAGGATTGTTGAAAACAAAATTTTTGTCCAATTTATTCTACGTATTCAAAAATTGCTGATTCTCAATGAGCAATCTTTTTTATATAATGGAAAAATTATTATTTTTTAAACAAATCGAAGCATGCTGTTGTGTTGCAGTCTTCTCTTAAAACATTTATACTGTGTTTTAAATGTTATTTTTATTCAATAAATTTTTTATCTATTTTTCGAAGTAAAAATAAAATGTATAAATAATTTCAATTTATAATTTTCACAAATTGATAAATTTATTGCTGTAGTAAGAGGAATAAAATAATTAGATTTGATTCTTCTTACTAACGTGAGTTAATTCGCTTATAAATTTAGAATATATTTAAATATATATGATGTTTAATCTTATTTTCAATGCTTAAATATATGTATATTTTTTGAAATTATCATAATAAATAAAAATTATTACAAGAGTTTGTCAGTTAAAAAAAATACTTATTTACAGTGGTGCGAATAGACCATAGAGTTTTCATAGCAAGTGTCTCTAGTAGGGCCCCTTCAACATAAAAACTAATTCTTTATAAATTTTGACATTATTTTTAACAAAAAAAAATCATGAGAGCAAAGAAATACTTTGCCAACTTTCTCGCTAGTTGCGCTACTGCTTGTTTAACTTAATAAATTTAATTTTTATCTGGGCTTGTAATTTTAAATCATTTTTCATTTTTAGTTTTTAACATATCTATAATTAAAAAAATTTCTCTCAGCTCAAGTTTTTGTTATGTAAATAAAATTATATATCTTAATAACTATAATTGATTGTTTTAAAATCGTCATTCTTTTTTATGTCTTTGTTTTAGTTATAAAATTTAAAAATAAATTGTTGTGTAAATAGTCAATTTAAATAAATAGTAGTTTTAGTGTTGTGAGTATATTAATTAAAAAAAGAGATTATTACTAAAACCTATTATTTATTCTGTCTTTTAGAAAATTTCATCAATATTATGTTGTTATAGTACCCTTTAATTTTTTTTTAAGTCACCAAGACTGCGTTCTCATTTTTAAATAATAAATCAACAATTTTGTTATTTAAGTACATCATTTTTTATGTCACCAATTGTCTAGTATACAATTGCTTACCACAATGTACAAAAAAATTAAAACGTGGTTTGAATACAATATATTATCGTAAGTTTTTAGTACTTTTGAAAAATCAATATAAACATTTTCATTTTTTGTTTGGTATATTTCAGATGTACATAATGGCAATTATCTTAATTATTAAAATTCAAAAAAATCATTTTGTTTTAAACTTTAATATTTAAAATAATGCCGATTAAACATATTATAAGCTTTTACTATTTAGATTAATCTATAATATATTAGCTCATATTATGTATAAACAACAATTAATTAATTGTTGTTTCTATTTTATTTAACTTAGTTTTATCAAATAAAGTTTCTACTATTTGGTTAAATAAAAATGTTAATGCATTTATATGTTTATTATGTTATATAAGTTAATCGAGCTTTATGTGTTTTTGTTTTTGTACTAAGTGACGTATACATTTTTTATCGTATTATTGTCGTTTTCGCTTGTAAACTATTCACTTTGATGAATACCATAGACATGCTAAAGTCGATCTTAATAATGTGTATGTCTATAGTGATGTGCTATGTCTTGCATTGCAATTCCTAGTAACAACTATTTTACATAAACTTTATAGATCACTTTTTCATTTTCCATTTAGATCTTGTAAAGAAAGAAATGGATTTTATTTTTGAAATAAATAAAATGTTAGACAGTTATGAAATACGTAAATATAAGATTTTTTTTATATAAAACATGTTTAAACTCATGGTTTTTTTTGTTATTCTGAACACCTAGCTAGGTGAAGCCTAATAAAGGATATTATGCAAAATATAATAAGTAAATGCAACTATAAAATAACAAATGCAAGTCCGTTAATATACTAAATATTAAGTATTAAATATTACTTTAATTTCTTTTACTATTTAGACGTATGATTTTGTTATAAAAAGGTCAGTTAAAAAGCAGGGATTGTTTTTCTTTTAAAGAATAATAAAATTATATTATATTATATTATCAACCAATTAAAATTATCGATAAATATCAAAATGTTTTTGTATAACATAAAATTCTATACACTTAAATTAAATTAATGTGCTATTATTAGGACTTTATATGAAACATACATTAAAAATAAAATGCTGGTAACAGAATAAAAGTTGCTTGTGAACTCTTAGTAATCGTTGAAATATGTTTCATCTAACATTTTTAAGTTTAAAAATAACATCCTAATTTATCTATAATTAATTGTCTCAAAAATAAATGTTTCTGTAATATATAGTAATAATAAACGAGAACTTGGGAAGAATAATAATTTATGGTATATTGTCTTATTCAAATTACCCTATTGTAATTTTGGTCATTTGTGTTACAGTTGCGGTCGGGTGGGTTTTGTCAGATGTAGAAAGGAAATAAACCTAGTAACAATTGTTTTAAGTGTATAAAGTTTGTGACCAATGCTTCTTCGTCATTTCATAAGTTCATGTTGAACTTTTATGCTGGCTTGATCGATACTCGAAATGTTTTTTAAAAGTTTTAGTATTTATGACTATAAATGTGTTTTTTGTGTAGATAACTGCCGAGGGCTTAGACGAAGTGTTGATCCTGGAAGATGATATACGATTTGAACCGTATTTCCGTTTTAAGTTGCAAGCGATATTAGAAGAGTTGAGACGTCTAGGCATTCCGTGGGATTTAGTGTAAATAATAAATGTGACTTCAATAAAAATTGAATTAAATAAATTTACCAAATCGTATTTTATTGGTATTTTTGTAGATATATAGGTCGAAAACCGTTGGAAGATAGCAATGAAGTACCAGTAGAAAATTCTAAATATTTAATTTATCCTGGATATTCTTATTGGACTCTTGGATATTTAATAAGTGGTCGAGGAGCAAAAAAATTACTAGACGCTGATCCACTTAAAAAACTATTGCCTGTCGATGAATTTCTCCCTATTATGTTCAATCAACATCCACGGTAAGTTACTTAATTATTTTAAAATAATTAAATTTTATTGATAGCAATCCTTTATAATTTATTTAATAATAATTTTATTTATATGGACGTGTAGAAATCAAGTATTACTTTAAAGTATAATTGATTAGTTCATTGTTAAGTTCTAAATTTAGAGTTGTTAATGTTCAATGAAAATTAAGTGGTTCAAAAAGATCAAAAAAAAATTATTTTTTGAAAAATGTTGCTCCTACCCTTTATTTAATATTCTATAGCTCTAAAATAAGATTTCCAAAAATAAAAGTTAATATTTTTGAGTCATCCCAAACTGATTGAAATTAAAAACTTTTACATTTAATAAGATGACATATTTTAGTATTAAATTAAACTACTTGGCAATTAACAATTTTTAAATAGAAATAATTATATCAGTATAATTAAATTAATGTATTGTAATGTCATTAAGTGTAAATATTCTAAATATTAAATAAAAGGTAAATTAGTTTTTTAGCTTCGATATGAAGCTGAGAAGGTATTGGTTTTACTATGATGTGTTTTCTTTTTTTTTTTTTGTGTCTGTTACCACTTTTTCTCAGCTCTCACCGAACCGCTTTATTTCAATGATACGTCAAAAGATCACAAATCGTATCTAGTCGAAAACATTACCCTCAAAAATTGAAAACATTTTTCTAGTTTTCCATAAATGAGGGAAATCTCCAAAAAAATTACAAATTTATATATCGCTAATTTTCGAAATTTTTTCAATTTTTTTTACTTAAAATTGCCATAACTTTTTTAAATATAACTAAATCAATATAATTTTTTTATATAGATGTATGATATCATTACCTTTCATTTGGTATATTTTTTTTTATAAATCTGACTCTTTACCTGCCTACAGGGGGATTTTCAAAATGACAACTTTTTCACAAAAAATTTACATTTTCAACTTGACTTTTGAAAATGTTCCGGAAGGTCTGACACTTTAATTTATATCTTAAATTAAAGCTAATGTAATATACTTTAACATGGAAAAAAAAATTTTGGACTTTATTTAATCTTTACGGTGAAAATGGCTACCAAATGCTATTTTTGTGTGAAAATTCTCGATTTTATTTTTTACATTTTTAACTTTATAATACTATACTTATTGAAAAGTATATGGATCAACACAATTTTTTTATGAGAAATAATATTTTTTAATAATCCCTTTTTCATTCATAAGGAACTAGCTGATCATGTAGCTTTTGGAATGACCCACCAATTTTTTAAAATTAAACACTATCTAAAGATTTGCATCGAAGCGTTTTTTTTTATAGTGTTTTTAATCACTGTCAGATATCATTATACTTGATCCAACTATGATACGTCATCACTGTGCCGCGACCCCCCTGTGCTGGATTTTTTTGCTATATCATTGTTGCAGTTTGAATATGCTTTATGATGGTCTGAAACTATTTGTAAAAGTTATTGTTCTTGAATTAACGCACTTCTTTCAGCCGCATAATTTTCAATTCGGAAATTTTGAAATATGTCTTTAGCTTCTAAATAATGTTTTGAATATTTCCACTTATTGACATCAGATTTCCAAAATTCTTTTACAGCAAAAATTAAAATAATTGAATTGTATATTGATGTATTAGAATAATCATGAAGATGCATATGCTAAATATCATTTTGATTTACTTTTGGCCTTACCATACGAGCTTTAAGATCGGGTTTATTAATTATAGCATTCATAATTTTACTTTTTTTTTCTGGGAGACATTTTCATCAAATAAACCTCTTTCTATTAATTTATCTGAAAGATACAACAATGATTATATAAACAGCGATATCTAAATTATCACAGTTTAATAAATCTTTCATCAACTGTAAATTATTGCATCGACATTAATAGCTAGTTGTGACATGAACCAAATTTTAATATACGCCGTTATAAAAATAATACATAATAATTCCAAATCTTTTTTCTCTAGCATCAAGTTGACATTGTTTTATAGTACATAAATATTTTTAAAAAGTAAAGAAGCTTGGACATCCACCGAGCATGACTAGTTGAATTAGGTGTCATAAATTTTACTTCTCTGCTGGGTGCCCTCACTAAAAAATAAAATAGTTAACTCTAAGAAGTTATGATATTCACCTTTCACTTGTTGTTTTTGGAGTGATTTTTGACAAAAGTCTAATATTTTTTTTTTGTATTAGTTATTCTTTGAATAATATATGGACTTAGTATCTCAAATGTTGATTTATAAATAGTTGACCAATAAGAACAAAAAAAGTGGACAAAAAGTCGATTCTCTGGTTTTAATGTAGGAGTAGGTAATGCCACTTGAAATGCAGTCCTAGTAATTATTTTATACTTTAGTCTGCAAGCAAAAAGTATTTCCCAACTTCTGTTCCAAAAAAACGTGAGCTCCTTTTTTTCCTGTGTTTGAAGATATTATGTCATAACACATTGAGACAACACTTTTACTTAAATTCCATTCTTGATTATTTAAGCTATCAAAAACTGTCGTACTCTGTATTTCACCAGAAGACAATGTTAACTTTTTCTCGCGTAGTAATTTTTCTTTACCATTACCTGAAACAAGTATTGGAAGGCGATCTACGTATTTCTTCGCTGTAAGGTTTACCATTAATTTTCCGTCCTAATAAACTGTTAATTTGCTACTCGTTGAAAATGATTCTTTAATAAAATTAGCTATTTCTTGTCTATAGTTTTCTCCGTAGAATTTTATTGCACTATGACTGCACGACAGCGAATTTAGATTTATACCCAATGATACTCTGGTTCTGCCTTAAACAGCTCCCAACTCATTAGTAATTAGTGGCTTAAACTTTTTTTACTTGTTCTATTTACTATAGATTTTTTAATCTTTACTTCAAAATTATCTTTGAATTGTTTTCACTTGTGTCAGTATCAGATAAAGTAAAAGTACATGACGCTTTTTTAATCATTTTTTCTTTATAAAATCACAGTTTTTCTCCACATTCAATTTTCTGTTGTTCTCTTTGTGAACCAACTAAGTGAATAGTAGACATAAATCTACATCTTCCTGGTTCTCGCTGAGCCAATATAAACAGTTGATTTTCATTAAATGTATTTTATTAAAGCATTCGCATTAGTGATATCAAAAAGATAAGTCATTTGCAATATGAAACGCAATTCTTGTTGACGGTATAATGTCGTTTCTCTATTTTTATGTTTATATAAATTAAGCCACTGATTATAAAGATTTTTAAATTTGACTAAAGCGTTATCACTGCGAGTATTTGGTATTCCATATTATTATAAATTCTTATTTTACAAAATATGTCTATAAACGAGGGGTTAACTTATAAAATTAAAACCTTTACTCTTATAAAAGAAACTTATCTACAACGCTATAAATGTCTAAATAGTAAAAAATAAAATGGTTTAAGATCCTTCAAAAATATTTTTGGTTTATAGAGAACAAATTTAAGTGGTAAGAGACAAACATTAATTTTTTTGCAAGTTGTCCAAATTTGTGAATATTGTTCATGAACAATAATTTAATGCAAAAAATATCTATTTATTTTGAAGTACAGTCAAATAGGCCAATTTTTATTGCGTTTCTAATATAATATGTTAGAACTTACTAGCTGTTACTGTTGTTAACTAATTTAATTATTTATTATAGAAAAATTTTAAATAAAGAATTGTATACATCTTTTGTCATAAAACAACATAAAAAAAAACTATTAACGTCAATGCACCAACAATGTATCTACTAGTAAAATGTTTACATGTATTGTTAATAAACACAAAATATTTGTTCAGAAAAGTTAAGTCACGGGATCTGTAAAATATTTTACTTAACTAAATTATTTAACTGTTTGGGGTAATTAAACATTTGTGTAAACTTGGAAATTTAGCTATCGCTCCAAGTTGGCCCATATGACGGTAACATTTTTTCTTATAAGATTTGATTTTTTTGTCATGGTAAAAATAATTGTTTTATTAAACTGATTAATTTCTATCTCAATATATTATATTACGTACAATACAATGTTAAGTAAATGTTTAAATAAAATAAATATTTTTCATTTTTTCAAAATTAAAAAATTTAATTTTTATCTACAGTGCAGGTTTTCTGTAGTAAAAAAACACCGTGAGTGGCAAATTTTAATTCTTCGCTGAAAGTATATAAAACAATTTTTGTTTATTTATTAAGCTATAACCTTATTATAATTTTTTTTAGAAAATATTTTTTATTACCATTGCTCTTATGTCTTCCCCATTGTGAGTCGTTTATCGCTATGTCTACCTTTGCGGATACAAAATATCTTTAAAACTTTCCCAATAACACTTCTGCATTGTATACATCTGTGTTATCATTGTATAACTGTGGTTAATTTATAAATATTGTTTTCTTATTTGCAATTTATTTTAGAAACGAATGGTTAAGTCAGTTTATTGAACGAAATTTGCTAGCCTTATCAGCGTCGCCATTATTAATTTACCCCATACGGTATACCTATGACGAAGGATATGTAAGTGATACTGAAGACTCAGTAGTAATTACAACAAAAGACTACATGGAACAAGATAATATTAAAGTAGATTTGTAATGAACTTTATATTTTACTTCTCAATTGTCATATATTTTATTTTTTATTAGTTGATCAAAAGTTTATTGTTGTTTATATTAATAATTATATTCATATATTATTTGCAATCTCAGTTTATTACAATTTATCATTATAGTTGTTGTAATAATATCTTAAAAAAAAGTCTTGCATAATAATTATTTTATGGAGAAATCTTAATTTTATTATAAATTTATATTTAAAAAAAAATATGCAAGTTTTATAAAAGATATATTTTTAAACATTATTCTTATTACCTATCTTTTTAACTAGATACTTGTATCTACTTGATATTATTATTGATGGTTTAAATACATATTCAATAGTCTTTATTTCGTTGCATTATGACTTATATTTAAATGAGATTACTTACACCAACAACTACATTTTTAAAATATATAATTGTGATATTTATAAGTTTTACAAACTGATAATTTATTAAAATGAATATATTGACCAATTAATTATAATTTTTGTAAAATTATATATATTTAAATATATGGTGTTACCATTATATTAATGTATTTATGTTTGGGTGCCATTTTGGATGTTAAAGTATGATAACTAATGTTTTTAAATATATATTTTTATATAATTTTTTTATACCAAAATAAATGAAGAGTTATCAAGTTATGCTGTTATTTGTTATCATTGTTCTAAGCTAACTACAGAAATTGATCATAGGTGTGCTTTCGCGATGTCAATTAAAACAATGGAAGATTAAACTGACGTTAACAGATATTCTAATCCCTTAATTGACATGAAAATTATTTCAGTGCTTTGAACTTGTTCAATATAAAGTAAGTTTTACAAGCTTCTATCAATTAGTTTTATGGAATTTTCCATTGTTAGAAAAAATTGATTTACATATATTACAAGTGTTTCGATAAAAATGAACAACGTTTTTATGCCAAAAACTATTTTTCATATATACTTAGTTTTATTATAAGATTTTAAAATGAAATAACCTTTAAAGATTTTGAGCTAAAAGAGTTATTTATTAATTATCAATAAACAGGAAGAAGAATCGTATTTGTTAAGATCGATCCAAAGTAATACGAGTTTAATTTTATGTATAAAATTTGACTCACGAGTGTTTTAGTTGTTTGTAAAAGTTTTTAAAGCATATTTTAACTTGTAAAAGTATGTAAATTTTATATTTAACTTATGTAACACAAGCTGACTATGTCGTATTATATATTGAATACAAAAAATCACTCTGAAATAATGTTGGCTTACACTTATTTTAATGTTATTAAACGAAGGTAAATAAAATCATTCTTAAATCGTCCAAAGTTTAAAGTTAAGTGTCTGTAGTTTCTGTAAATGTTTACATTTGTAATACAATGTGCGTTTTATTCGATTTTTTAAAAACTTTCTAAGGACAACAAAGTTTAAATTGGTTTATTTACAAAAACACGTGGTAATATAAGGTTTACTATTGTGTTGGCTTCAAGTATTTAAAAGAGCCATTTTATATAATTTAAAACATTAAAAAACATAGATTTACATTAAATTACACTGTTTTGTTGATTAATATTAATAAATTACATAATTTATATTTATTTATAGTCTTTACACAATTCAAAAATAAATTTTTTTAGATAAATTAAAATTTTGTATTTCTTTTTAAAAATATAGTATTATAAGAAATTAAAATGTTCAATGAGCTTTTCTTTATATAAACAACAGTAAAATTTAAATGCCAGTTGTTTAATTTTGTAAATTTAAGTAAAATTTTTATATTAATCGTGAGTTTCTATTTTATTATAAACTAAAATCTACCTGAGTTAAATGTAAAGTTTTTTTTTAACTATGTGATATTAATTTTAAATTAGCTATCGTGGACACTTGTCAATCACATATTTCTGATTATAATTATCTGGTTATTCTACTCTAAATTAGTTGTTTTTTGAATTATACGCCAATTAATTATTGAACATTTTTCGGAAATACTGACACTTTTTTACATATTTTAAATTAAAGCTTATGAAATATATTTTAATACGAAAAAAATAATTTCGAACTATACATTGTTTTTATGGTAAAAATTGCTATTGCGTACAAAAATATGCTATTTTTGTGTTACAATTCTCAGTTTTGTATTTTATTTTATTTTAAAATGCTTTACAAGGATAGTACACTGATTTTTATAAATATTATATAAATTTAATTGACATAGTATAGAAAGTTAAACTTACTTAAATTTTTTTGATTCTTTTAAGCCAAGGAAAATAAATTTGAACTAGCTTAAATTGCCAGTTTTATCCACTCAAGAAATGTGACGTACCGATACTTAGTCGGTAAAACTTATATATTTCATGCTTGAGGTACGAAGTTTAAACCCTAAATGTTTTGCTTTATATAAATAAAAAAATTATTTAATACAGAAATCATCAGAAAAGAAAATATAAAACTCGGCTTTTTCCGGAAAAAATAAATGACATTTATGATATTTATAACTTACTTTATCACTAATGAATTTTTATTATTATTTATTAATATTTAACGATTTAAAAATCGTAAGTAACTTTTACTTGCTTTGACAATCAAAAAATATGTTTCTATTTTTATTTGTGTTTCTAATAAAAACATTTTTTGATAGTGTAAGAATTTATACTATTAACTCTATTTATCTATTATATTTGGTGAGTTTTTTTTTTGTATATATCTAGATAGTCTAGCAAAAATATTTATATTACTTGAACAATTTTAAAATTTATTATTGCGGCTTTTTAATAAGTAGTAAATTATACTTCATAAAGTTTAACAGTGACATTATTATAACTTTTAAAATATTTTTTGTACATTTTTGTTATACAAAATAAAATGATTGAAACGATGAATTTTCTCAGAAAGCAGTAATTTTTTAATTAAATCCTTTATTTTTCATATAGAAAATGTTGAAACTCCTATTTTTATTAAACTTTTTGAGTTATTAAATCTTTTTACTTGATTTACAACACTAAGTAGCAATTTTTTTTTTACTGGAAAAATTAAATGATTTTTTATATTTATGTGATGAATTTAAAAATATCTGCTACATTTTCTTTCAATGAATATCCGTTTATATAATGTATACCAAATTCTTTATTTGCTTTTTGCGTAACCACGTAATTTTTTCTTGAAAATTTAATTATTTATAATTTGCACATTATGTAAATCTATAAACATGAATTAATAATATTTATACACAACATTTATATTAAAAAAAGTCGAATGTATAATATCATCTTCTTAAAATAAAGCTATAGTACTGCTTGTTGTTATGTTTTTAAATCTTATTTTTAAGTAATGAAAAACATCAGAATTGATTTAAGTATACTTTTTATACCTATCAAATCAGATAATTTAGCCATTATTTTAATTTTCTAACTTAAATTATTTTATTATGATTTATAACTTTGATCTGCTAAATTACAGTTTTTTAATGATCAGAATACTGAAAAGTATATATTGTAATAAATATTTTTTTTAAATAAAGCATGTCATCCATAAAACAGACGATGTCAGGCACATACTGTTAAAAAATAAAATACATCTTAATATTTTGATCCTTAGCTTATTTTCAAATTTCTAAGATGCAAAAGGTATTGTTGTAGACTTGTTTAACTTGTAAGATGGGGCTTATGTGAAAAAAATTATGTATTGTAATATAACAAAAAACGTAATATTATTTAATATTATAAAAAGTTGTAATATTTTTAAATTAAAAAAAAATATCGAGAAAAACTTAATTAATAAAAAAAATTTAGTAATGAATACAATTAATTTCAAAGCAATCAAAATATTATCAATGTAATCAAATTATGTAGTAATTTTATTACAAGTGTTTCTACATTATTTCAATATATATGGCCTAAAATGAGATGTACTTCAACATAAATTTTACAGGGACAAATTTGTAATGTGCAGTATGCATAGTTAAATAATAAAATATCAATTAAATATTTATATTAAAACTTAGAACGTCATATTTAACGCATAATAATTAATATGGATTTTTTAATTTGTACACATTAATTGGCATGGTGACAGAATTTTTTCCTAAAGAGCGGAAAAGGGTAATTAAATTTTTGGAGGGGCAAGTACAGTATTTGTGAAATATTGTTAAATTTTAAATACAAATTTAATACATATAAGCAGGGCCGGGTTAAGATTTGGGTTGATACTTTGAGATGTGGAAAATATCGCCACATAAAAGTGATAAGCAAAAAAACATTTTAAAATTAAAAATATAACCATGTAGTGCACTTTAATATGTTACCAAACCATTTTTATAATCAATAGGTGATCTTTAATCTGTAATAATAACGTGAAACCAACAACTACAAGTACAACAGTCGAATATGATTATAAATATCAATATATAAATCTAACAAGATTTCATATCATTACAACTTATTATAAAGCCGTTGTCAGTCAACAGCCGTTTTTTTAAATATAAAATACTCGTGAGTGAAAGAAGAGCAAATTTTCTTTTTTTATACTTTCAAATTATTATAAATTTTAAAAACTGACGATAGTGATAAATTTTTGTTGGATCGAATAATTCAAGCTAACAATTTATTTTAGTTAATATCTTAATCAGAATAATTTAAGATTGGTTTGAAATATTTTTGAAAATTGCTTATTAGAAAGTTTTTGAAACAATAATACAATAGTTAAATAACATTTTATATTTTAGTATTAAGTTATTGCATTACCAAACTATTTTGAAATGTTGTGGAATTGATATTCTCAAAAAACAATCATGAATTTTTATAAACAAATATTAAAACAAAAGTTTTAATATTTGTAAAATAACTAATACTCTAACTAACACATATAGAAGCTATAATGAAATTAAATTTGTGCACATTAGAATAAATTTTATTCTAACACATAAAGCTTATTGTATGCTATATTTTTATAGCTATTTAATTTCATAATGAAATAATATATACATTAAATATTTATGAGGTATAACGAAATATTTAGTAATTAATTCTAGTATTTGAATAAATAATCAGCAGAATGAAGAATTATTTAAAAAAAATTAATGAAATATAATAATTTCAATTAAAATTCCATTTTAATAATGCCCAAGTCTGACGTAATAGTAAATATACTTAATGACTTTTTATTATTAAACGATGAAATATTTAATAATTTTTATTTAAAACAGCTTTTTCGTTAATATAAAATAAATATCTAAACACATTAAAAATTGTATTGTCATAGATAAAAACAATCTAAAATGAATAAAGAAATGTATAAAATTCCTTCTTTTTAATTTCATTAGTAATAATAGAGAATAGAGAAATGCATAAAATTCCCTCCTTTTAATTTCATTAGTAATAATAAAAATATAAAATAGATATATATTTTTGAATTGAATGAAATCCAAAAAATGGATGGACGTGCTGCTAGATATATGAAACATAACGGACGTAGTAATTGAAGCATAATGATGTGAGTACTTGGAAAAATCAAGTATACTCGATTAATTTAAGTATCCTAGGATGTAAAAGTAAACGATTTTTCCTTCTAAAATTAATTATTAATAATTTTTACAATATTTTTTGTTATAATAAGTCTCTACAATAATAAACTTATTATCTTTAAAGTTTATTGACACTAATTACTTTATGTTAGTGATAAAATAGTTGCTTTAATTTTAGAAAAATTTCTCAAATAAAATTTATTACCTCTGTCATAATTATTAATTATAAGTTTTTAAGTTTTTATTTAGCATAAATTATAGTCGAATTATTATTAAATTATTGACTTCGAGTCTTCTTATTTTCAACTCGTTCAATCGCTACTCATGACAACACCTTATCTGTCACATTTTTGGGAAGTATGTGACGATTAGAACAAAGTTTTGTCCTGAACTGGCTAAACTACTGAGTTCTGATTCTCTCACTAGTTGTGAATTTATGAAAAATCAATTAGGTGTGGAATCAGGTATTTTAATTATGATGGTCAAGCCGGCTATTGCTACCTTATCTTATGTTTTTATTTTTAAATTTGTTATCGGTTTTTTTAAAATATAGGTAATAGTTATTAAATAATAAAAATAACAACTTGTCTTTTATTTAAAGCACTTATTAATAATGCATTATTAATATATTATTGTTATTATTATTCCTAAATTATAGTTTAATATAATAATTATAAATAAACACCAACAAATAAAAAAAGCAAAATTAAATTAATAATTATTTACTATAGGTATATTTATTCATATTTCGAATAATTTTTCGATTCTCTCGATAAATAATAATAGTTGATTATTCTTATCATACGAGCAGACGATTATAACTTCGAGTGATTTTTCGAGAGATTCACTCGATTATGAAAATGTCTCGATTACTAATCATTCGATTATCGAAATCATTCGATTATGCCCATCACTAATAATTAAGTATATTTGTTATTCGTTTTTAGTGATCAGATGATCAATACACGCACCGCCACCTAGATATTGATTATGTTTATAATAAAATACACTATCTATGTGAGAGTTTTAATTTCATACATAATAAATTTAAAACAGATGGCAGCACTAAAATTACATAGAGAGTTTTGACGTTCAACAAGTAATGGCTTGTTGCGCCAATAAGTAGCAGGTGTGTAGTATCACAGGGTTGGTTCAACAACTACACCATCTCCAGTCGTTGATGCGCAGCCACACTGGCTAGTTTTATGTTTTGCTATGCATGTGGTAATAAGACTTAACTGTTGTAAAGTGCCAAAATACAGCGGGGAGCGACTATTCAAATTAGAGTTCAGAGGTTAGTATAGATAATTTTAAAATTAATTTTTAAGCATTATTTAGTGTCAAAATATTTATATACATTAACTGACTCACAATTTCCTACATAAAATTAGTATGATTTTAAATTATTTTTCTTTCTAAAATTATTTATATTTAGAAAATAACGATGAAAATACATTGATAAGAAATAAATGAGCAAACAGATTATAAAATACGCCTTCTGTGTTATTGAAAAATACAGTTCAAGTATTTTAGCGTATTAAATAAAATATTCAAATAAATTTTAAAGAACCGTTTTGTTTTTTAATTGTAACTGGTATCGGAGAGTAATCAATTATTTACTAATACTCTATTTGACATTTTTATATATAAATCTATTTTATATTTTGGTAACTTAATAAGAAGAAAAAAATGTATGTATATTTATTAGTTCACAATAATATCCTGATATAGTTAACAAAAATAAAAAAAGATGTGAAATGTGAAATTACAGCGCCTACTAAATTTTTGATTATAAAGGTATTTATGCACTCTTTTGACAAAATCATTTGACCGCCTCTGTGGTGAATTAGTGGAATTAAATTAAAAAACAATAGTATAAATCATTTAATATATTTTGTACAACATAGAAATATGTTTGATTATAATACTATTAAAAAATATACTTTAAAGTATATATTGAATGTATACCAGATATTTCTAAATTTTAGGAATATTTATAATATATATTTTAACATACTACAGTGAAACCACCTTAACTGGTATATTAAACGGAAAAATTCATTGTTTCCGGTTTATTTTATAGATTAAAATTAACCTCTATTTTACTTAGTAAAATATATTAGTAAATAAGAAATCCTTTGCTCATGTTGGATTTAGTAGATTTGTATTCAACGGCTTAAATATTTATATATATACATAAAATTATAATTTATTCAAGTCATTTTTATTTATTTCTGTATATTTGAATACAAATTTTATTGTTTTTTAAATGGTAGTATACAATATAAATGTCATGAATATTGATTTATGTCAGTAAAGTTTATAAAATATTTTAACTATATTTACCATATTATTTTTTTGATTCAAATTTCTTTAGCTCCTAACTATTATAAGGGGACTTGTATAGGCAATTTTGGGCCAGATATGCGTATGATACATTGAAATTACAATTACAAATTTAATTTTTGTTAAAATGCATCGGTTTGATCCCTTTGTTTATTATTTATTTTATATTGCGAGGCCCCTAGAAAATAATTTTTGCAGCATATCTATGCTATGATATTGGCTAAATTAAAAAAAAACAAATTGTGTGTTAATTAAGTTAAAATATTATTTTAATTTTTGTAGTTAACCACTTTAATTGAAATCTCATAAAAAATGTGATAATAAAATATGAGTTTTAAACTTCTAATCTAAAATTTTATTGCTGGTGTAAATGCTGTGTAATCTACGTGTAAATAAATTTACGAGACTCTTAATCTCGGGGTCGTGGGTTCGAGTCCCACGTTGGGCGCCACTTTGTTGTATTTATATATGGAACAATCTTTTTGTTCTAACTTATAGTTATAGTAGTTCAATAATAACGCAAAATGTAGTTAATAAAGATATAATCAATCAAAATAAAACATATAAAATATTGATACACTTAAAAACGGATAAATAAATAATACACCAAAATAAAAATTTAATGTCACAAACGTACCACACGGAAAAAGATTACTTTCGGTACTCTCGAGGTCTTCTCTCTCTCCTCTCTTCAATTCATTCCATTTCATCTTATATACTAACATATTTTGTTTTTCTTTTTATAAAATTCATATAGTAATCATTTTCAAAAATGTTTATAAATATTTACTTCCTGATAGTAACAATAATTTGGGAATTACAATTAATCTAAACATTACAAAAGTGTTCTACTTCTAGGTTTACAAATAATAGACTATATTATATTTTTGTAATAATAGATCAAGAAATTCATAGTTAAACCAAACATTACAAAAATGCTTTGTTTTCAGTTTTACAAAATAATGACCTATATTACACATTATTTTTAATCTCGAAGCTATTGTAATAAATAATGAATTATTTTATATCAACGAGCTTATCCCCAGTGAATTGTTATCAATATATTCAAGTAATTCAGTTTATTTGATTTTTTATTTCTAAATAATTAAAATTAGTACTGTTTTTCAATATATTCAATAATCTATATATTTGAAGGATTCTGTTTATATATATAACTGTATTTAAATTGATGAGAATTCATGTTTTAAAAGACTCAAATTTAATATAGACCAAATGTTATTTTTAATTTGAATAATCATTCAAAAGTGGTTTTTGCCATCATTTTTCAAATTTTAGTTTTTTTAGTAAAATAAGATTAAACATAGTGTGGGATTTAAACTTCAAAACTCACCCTTTTTTTACAGGTTCCTATAATATAAGGACGTCCTACGTATAAAATTTGATTTATACGAAATATAAATGCTAAATATAATTAAATATTATTTACTATAAATATAAAACATATTAACATACAATGTAACTCTTATGAAAGGTCAATACTTAGTAATTGTATATCTTGATACGATTTTTTTTAAAGAGGGCTCTCTTGTACTCGCAGTGTATTATGATAACTATCACACAATAAAATATAATAATTTAATATTTTTCTCTGTGTTAAAGTTAAGATTGCAGTGTAAGTTTTAACTTCATAATTTAATTTCTGGTTATAATAATTTGTATGTATTGAAAGATTTTTTCCAAAAACAAAAGAAATGTGTTTTTTATATAATTTGACATAATTAAATAATACACTATCTTGTAATTTTTAAAAAGTTAGGATTTAATTATTATTTGTTTATTTATTTTATTTTTTGTAATAAATTAACAGTTTCAAAGAGTGTTTCATTTTCTACTTCTTCTTCAAAAAAAAATGTTATATGGATAGCAAAAATTTTTATCTGCTAAGTTAGCTGATAGTATGAAGTAATAGTATTAGCAAGTGGCTAATACTACTACTGCGGTTTCCAAATGTCATAGTCCATTATCGTAACACAAACTTGATTCGACCTATCTCTATACTATAATCCGATCTGTGCTTTATTCTTGTCCATTTTATCTATCAACCATTGTTTTGGTCTTTCAAATGGTCTATTCCCATTGGGTATCCACTTTAAAACTCATATCATTAGACTATTTTATCTTCTTTTGTGACTAATCCATTGGTATTCTTCTATATTGTAGTAAAACTACTATATTTTAGGCCTTTTATATAACTGTTGTAATTCCAGATAGCTTCTTATTCATTTTCTCGTCTAGATATTACCATATACTTCGTCTAAGATTCGTTTGTCTGTAGTCCGATGACTTAACTATTTGTTATTAGTTTCTTGGTGCATGTTTTTATTTCTTGGCTATCTGATCCCAATATGATAATATTATCTGTATATGCTGGTATTCCATGTTGACTTTTATAATCTTCCAAGTTTAATCCGTCATATTTGTTCTGAATTTTCTCAATTACTATTTCTAATATTATATTTAAAAATACTGAACTTAAAACATCTCCCTATCGAAACCCGGTTTTAACTTCAAATTCTGATATATCGATGTAGATTGATTCTAACGTAACAACCTGTTTTATACGCACATAATATGATTATTCTTACCGTTTTAGCTGTTATACCAAAGAAATTTAGCGCATTCAATTACACTTCTTTATCAACTCAATTATGTTCCTGTTTATAATCAACAAACAACATATACAAGTCTTTAATTCATAATGCTTTTTTAATAACTGCGTAATAGTAAAAATTTGATCTATAATAGATCGACTGCCCATTAAGTGCCATTGTGACCTTTTCTAATAGAAAGATAATTTACTTATTTATACTTCTGGATCCATGACTGAAACTTATATCTACAATACACTTTAGGCACTGTCACATTAGTGACTCAGTCACATCGTGCCATCTTATTCAACATTTTCTTAAAACTAATTATACTAATATTTTTGTTGTATTTGACTTACAATAATTCAACTTAAAGTAAGAATAAAAGAAATTGTAAAATAAATAGACAAGTAATCCATGTTATTTGTCTTCATAAATTAAGTTGCGTGATTTAGTAATTTATGTTTAAAATTAAATGATATATGAATAAAGTGTGTTTACTTTATGAAAGAAAAATCTATACAAACTAGACAACTATTTCAAAAAATTTTAATAAACAAATTTAAGTATAATTTTTATGCTTTTAGTAAATCATTTTTTTTTACTTTTTACCAAATAAAATTATGATATTAATTGAAGACTAAGATAATTTTCTAACAAATTAATAAAAAAAAATATATCATTGTGTTTTTACACCTTGAAACTAAATTAACTCACGTTAATCATTTAATATAAATATTTTTATAATTATTTGGAAATGAAAATTAATATTTTTAATTTTATTTAATTTCACATGTTAACTAGCATTAAAAAAATCATGACTTATATTATAAAAGAAAAACATATAATTAAATTAATCAACTATTTGACTTTACGCTCTATGATATTCAATATTAATTTCATATGCTTACGTTTTACATCATAATGATAATTTATAAATTAATTTTGAAAATAAATTTTTATTCTATACATGTTTAATAGATTGGGAGACATAACTATTTTTGTCGTTGAAATGTAAAATATTTTAAATAAATGAATACTTAGGATTATAGTCGTATTTAAAAGCAGTGTTAGATCTATTTAAATATAAAAACCTTCTTCGTCATTTTTTTTTAGATACATTCTGGTAGAATTATTTTTGCAAAAATATTATAATTTTTACTAAATAAAACTGACTTAAATTTATGATTTTATTTATGTATGTAGCTAATAACAGTTCCAAATGTAATAATAAAGCCTTNGTAAATATGATTTTATTTTAAATGTATGTAGCTAATAACAGTTCCAAATGTAATAATAAAGCCTTAGTATTTTTATTGATAAAAGATTAACTCTTAAA